CACAAATCGTTCCCTTTCAGCACCTCCCACCACAAATATTCCATCGTGTTTTGTTACCCATACAATATGCTAGAAGTCGCTTATTCACAAATAAGTTGGACACATTTGCTCATTTTTCTTAGGCGGTATTGAGCCCTAAACACTACTGAGAGAGAGGTATTAGAGTAGGTGTCTGATTAGGACAGTGAGAATAGTGCTAGATGACGACTTCTAGGCTTGAACCCTGAAAGTCCTAAGCAGTCTTCTTTGGTGTGAGAGACACCTCTTAACTGAGGAACGCTGTGTTTTCCCTAGTATGTATTCCACAGGTGTTAAGTATTCTCCACTGGGTTAGTGACAGCTGTGGAGTGGAGGTGGAGGCTGTTCTCTAGCCAAATAAACTTCAGAAATACTGGAAGAAATGATCTCTCAGAATCTTTCATCATAAGGAAAAACAGGAATCCATAATTAGCATTAGATAAAAGAGTGGAATCTAACAGAAAATAGCCTTTCCAAGTGTTATTTCAGGAACAGCATAGCAAGCAAATAGAGTATTCAGAGAACAAAAAGAATGATACGTTTTTCTCAAAATCTGTGAAATATTGACAAGGTAAGTACTTTGAAATTAGATTTATACTTGAAATGTAAGTGCTAAGAGTAGAATCTAAATTTCTGGCTTAGATTGATAAAGGACAGAATCGGCCTTCTTGCTGCCTTGTTTATATTGAAAGGGAAACTGATATTAGGCTGAGACAATGATAAATTGTGTCTGTTCTCTGAGGGTCCACCCTAAGACTGAAGACAGGAATTATCAAGTTTTCTCTAATAGTCATTTGGCTTAATTAAAACAACTCGCCCCACTATTATTAGAGGTAATATTTTATACTTTTTTAGCACTCCGTCTATGGGAAGCATTGTTTGGTTGGGGAGAAAAATGCATGGCGCTTGGAGACAGGTGACACCATAGTTTGGGCTCAAGGTCTCCCTATATTGCAAGCCTGGGGAAAAGGTGTAGGTCACTTTCCCAACCTCATTTTCAGTTCTGCTACCTGAACTGTAATAATCCACTCCCTCAGAGGCAGTTTGAGAGATTCAAAGAGATCCTCTTTGTTACAACTGTCTGAAAGTAGTTAAACTCTATCGTGAAATGTGGGTTATCTCACTTTAATTCTTATAGAGACTGTGAGGTACCACTGGCAAGTCCACTGCTAGAAGAGAACCTGAAGTTATGAAAGGTTGACAAGCTCACCTAAGGATGCCCAATGAAGGTCATAGTCAAATCTCTGTCTCTAGCCATAATGATACTGCCATATAATGTATTCCTTTATCTCTGGCCACCAGTATATTAGATAAACTCACCATCTCATTTCAGTCTCGCTGCTCTCCCATTCACCCTCTACTCCAGACAGAACTTTCTAAATATGATTAGAACACTCTTCTAAAAACACTTACCGTGGTTTCTAATGCCTGGATGTTTCTAACTGAGAACATGCAGATATATTCCCTGTGGTCTGTGAACTTCTTGAAATTGTAAGTAAATTTTGTGTACATTACAGATACCTTTGTTGGTTTGTTTGTTTGTTTTTGTTTGTTTTTGTCGAAAGACTGTTTAACACATTAGATTTTGAGAAGTGTCCATGTTCTTACCCAAGGCCTGGAGCCCCTAGCTCACCAAGAAGCCCTAAGCATGTCAGCATGGCATGGAAGCAGGAATTAACTGACCCTTCCTACTTTTCCACCTGTCCAGACCGAAATATTGAACCACTTGCAGTTTTTCCCACTCACACCAAACTACGTCTCAACTTTGAAACTGCGCTCCTCTCAGGGGCCTTCACTTGGCCTGGGTTGGAAGCTCCAGGACAGTGAGTCATGTCCAGCATATCTTTATCACTTGAAGTCATCATGTTTTAAAAAATTGATATTCATGGATTACAAAATAGAACTACATGCTGTACAATAAAGAAACAAATGTAGAAAGTGAAAGTCCCCTAAGATTCCACCTGCCAGAAAGAATCTCCTTTAACATTTTGGTACCTGGTCTTTATATAGATCTGTAAATAAACTGTAGTTACTCTATCCTATTCTGCAGTTGGATTTGTTGTTTGCGAAACATGTTGTTCATCTTTACAGGCTTGTTACGGAGATTTACAATGTATGTGTCTATCACTGTCTATTTAGATGATTCTTTTGCTGGTTAGTTTACCTTGTTAGTCCTTGTTACTCCTCTCAAATATGGCTCCTATGACCAGCCTTCATCATTTAACTTTATCCACTTGTATGAGTACTTCTGTGCAATTGTCCTGGAAGCAAGTCACATATATGCAATTTTAACAATACTGGCAACCATTCGTCCAATGTTCATGTTTATGCAGACACCTATTAATATACTATGCTATATATATATAGAAATAGAATCTCCCTCTGTCACCATCGCTGGAGTGCAGTGGCACGATCTTGGCTCAAACTTCACCCCCCGGGTTCAAGTGATTTTCTTGCCCCGGCCTCCCGAGTAGCTGGGATTACAGGCGTGCGTTATCACATCTGGCTAATTTTTGTATTTTTAGTAGATACGGGGTTTCACAGTTTTGGCCAGGCTGGCCTCGAACTTCTGGCCTTAAGTGATCTGGCAGCCTTGGCTTCCCAAAGTGCTGGGATTGCAGATGTGAGCCACTGCGCCCAACCTGTGCTTTTTATAATTAATCGTTTGTGGATGTTTCTCACCCCCACTAGACTGCAAAACTCTCAAAAACAAAGGTTGTGTGTAATATATCTTGATGTCCCTCCTGGGTTCTCACAGAAGGTACACAAAATAAACCTTGTAAGAATGAATGGACAAAACAATAAACAAAAGAACAACTGAATAATTCAGTAGCTCCTCTAACCCTCATACCAAACTCATATGACAGGTAACGTTTACAGTTCAGAGGAGGTCCTAGGTTTAAACTTTAATGTTTGTTAATAAATAAGTCAGTCAAGGATGAACTCTTGTCTTGACTTTACCAAAACTAGCCCTCCCTAATTTTTGGGGGGGGCTCAGTTTCCCTGTCTCACAAAGAGGAGATTAGAATAATGGTTCTTCAGATCCAGGCAAGCAACTCAATTTTTTTGTCTGTAACCTGAGCATATGCCATAGTTTACTCATCACTGTCTCATCTCTAATCCAAATTGTTCAACAATGCAATAAAATCTCAGGCTAAGGTTAGTGACCAACATAAAATATTTTTGGCCTTTTCGGCCTTCTGCATATCTGTACTTCAAATATCTGTACATTTTGGGAAACCAAAAAAATGAAAATTATTTTAGATAGGTACCAATCAACCTTCTCGACTATGTTTAGAAGACATTTAATGCTTTAGATGTCATACAAATGATTAATACCCGTCTTGGAGTTGTTGAAGTAAATGTTGGGAATGATAACGGGTTCAGGGATTTGTATTTTATAGGATTTTCACATCCAAGAGCCCATTTGGTATAGTGAAGATAATAGGAGAATGAATGTGTAGCTTTCAGTTTTGTTGAACTTACTCTTGTAAACATTCTGAAAAGAGAACCTTTTGGCCAACTATTTTAAGAATGCATAAATATCAAGGCAAAAGCATTCCCAACCCACATGTCTGCCCATTCCCCATGGCGGACATCATCATCAGTTCTAAATTTTAATAATAGCATTTCTGTTTTTATAACACTTTTATTAAGAATGTTGGGGTGAGGTACTAGAAATGGTCAAATTTATAGGCAATGGAAAATGTAATAAACTCCCTTTTAATCATGTAGCACAAAGCTACTTTAAATCTAGCATATGGCCTTTATTCCTTTCTTACACACTTTTTATTCTTCATTGGTGATCTCCAGTACTCTCTCAATTGATGTTTGATTCTCTTACATTGCTATAATTCTGGTTCACCTACCTATTTATTTTTTAATTATTATTTTTTATTTCAGTATTTTTTAGGGTACATGTGAGTTTTGGTTACATGGATGAGTTCTATAGTGGTGAATTCTGAAATTTTAGTGCACCCATCACCCAAGCAGCGTACACTGTACCCACATGGATGGAATGGACAAAGGCCCCAGTGGCTCTGTATGTCCCATTTGGTTACAGGGGATGAGGGATAAAAGACTATACATTTTATATGGAGTCTTTTATCCCTCACCCCCTGCCCAACCTGGCTGCACCCAGGCCTCAAAGTCCATCATTTCACGCTGTATGTCTTTGCATCTTCATAGCTTAGCTCTCGCCCACCTATTTCAACACCAACCCAGTGTCAATGCTACTGACTTTTCATCACTATTTGAAATCTGGCTGTTTGCAGTGCTGGAAAAATGAAATTACTCAACTTCCTTAACTGGAACAAAAGAACTAGAACCAAAATGTTCGCTTTCTGGACTCCTGTACTTGATAAGATTTATCTCATTTCCTATCTCAAAGTTTATATGTGGTCCAGAAGTACACCACTTCCAGAAGCTCTTTATGCTGCTTGACTTTTTTCACCTGAGTGTGAGAAAATTCTAGCTGTGTGTTTTCTCCCTTTTAGCTGAATAAGGCCTAGCCTGCTGTGCTCCCTCTCTTCAGGAAGCCCATCGCGGGCTATGCGAGAGGTCCCCGCTCATGCCCTTGTTGTGCTCTTTCTGCAGCTGTTTTTCTTTAATTATTAATGTGCCTGTATCTCTCACTTGACTGTAAGGTTCATAAGAAAGAAAGACCCAATTTGTTTTTCTCATAAATGTATAACAGCACACAGTGGTCACTTAGCAATTGTTGAACAAACTCGATTCTTCCTATCGTAAACATGGATTTCTAAAGCCTGATAGATGACTCATCTAGATAAGGCAAGTGAGTAAAGAGATGTGTCCAAGGTTAGCCACTGAATAAGTGATAAAACTAATTCTAAAACCCAGGTCTCCCGACAGCCACGTCCAGTACTTTTTCCTCTCCAGTGCAATCACTGCTTGTTTAGGCTGACTGCCTTGGTTGATGGTCTAGGTGGCCATTAAAGGACTCTGTGCTTTCTGCCTTTCAGGGTGGACCTACAGGGCAACTGGGGCCTTCATCAGTTCCCCCTTCTTTACGCCCAGAGGATGAGCTTGAGCACCTGACCAAAAAGATGCTGTATGACATGCAAAATCCACCTGCTGACGAATACTTTGGTGAGTGGGGCCTAGAGTGGACTTCCGAAGTAACTATCTTGCTCTGATTTCCTTACTTAGTAACTGGAACTATTATCAGCTCCACTGGGAAAGTATTTGAGTCCAGATGCATGGGAGTTGATACACATCCCAACACAACTAAGTAATTGTAGGATTTGCATTTGCAAGACTGCCATAAATGTGATGTCTGCTTAGCTTATATTAAACTTTCAGTGGTCCTTAGAGTTTCTTTAGATACAAATTTTATTGTTGAGACTTATTTTTTACCAGCCTAGGCAACATGGGGAAACTCTGTCTCCACTAAAAATACAAAAATTAGCTGAGTGTGGTGGCATGTGCCTGTAGCCCCAGCTACTCAGAAGGCTGATGCTAGAGAATCACCTGAGCCTGGGAGGTCGAGGCTGCAGTGAGCTGTGATTGCGCCACTGCACTCCAGTCTGGACAACAGAGTGAGACCCCGTTTTGTTTTTTTTTTTTTTTTTTAATTAAAAAAAAAAAAAAGATGATGACTTATTTTTTGACAATGAATTAGCCTCCCATTAGGCAGAAATAGGATTTCCATGTATGTTCCCATTTCTCACTAGTCTAAAGATTCAAGTAAAAAAATGTGGAATTGGATATTGTCTAATATACAATTTCCAGATTGTACTCTTAATCTTTTTTTGTGTCTCAGTTTAAGAAATGATGTTTTCTTTGTAGTTTTAATTTTCCCCTCTTCAAACTTGGGAATAACTGTGAGTGGTTAATCCTTCCAGTCCATGAATATAATGCAAATTTATGAATTGTATGCCAATTTTGAGGTTCTGCGGACATGTAACCTGTCCTCAGTGAGGTTAAAATTGTTCAGAAAGAGGTAAGACAAGCATACAAATAATTACTAGTCTAGGTAGAAAGTGATAAAAGACATGAGAAGGCTTAGGTCAATTGTTGCAAGTTTTATTTTATTTTTATTTTATTTTATTTTATTTTATTTTATTTTATTTTATTTTATTTGAGACGGAGTCTTACTCTGTCATCCAGGCTGGAGTGCACTGGCATGATCTTGGCTCACTGCGACCTCCACCTCCAGGTTTTAAGCGATTCTCCTGCCTCAGCCTCCCAAGTAGCTGGGATTACAGGTGCCCACCACCACAACTGGCTAGTTTTTGTATTTTTAGTAGAGATGAGGTTTCACCATGTTGGCCAGGCCTGGTCTTGAACTCCTGACCTCAGGTGATCCACCTGCCTCAGCCTCCCAAAGTGCTGGGATTACAGGCGTGAGCCACCGAACTCGGCCATAAGTTTTAAAAGTTCTATTTATTAGGAGCAGAAATACTTTGGTAAAGAATTGGTAGCACTTGAATCTGAGCCCTTTAAACCAGTGCCTTTCACATTTTCTGTGGTAGGAAACCATTTTCCTCCCAATCTGTTAGAGACCAGTATTTTTGTAGAGTCAGTTAAAATTAATTACTAGGGAAATAAAAGACGCAAAATAAAATGGAAGATGGAATTGTATAATTATTAGAGTTAACTGTTAATGGATTACTCTTTTAAATGGTTGTACTAGTTTCTAAATATTCATTCTTTGTTCCTGTATTTATCTCATCCAGAGTGATAAGCATTTCTTAGACACCCATCCATGGACCACTTTTTGAGTGGCACTGCTTTAAGGACAAATAGAAAAAGGACATTTGGGGAACAGTATTAGTAAAGGCACAAAGACAGGGACATTGCACAGGATTTTTGCTTCTTCAAATATTTCCCATTTTCATGTCTTTTTTGCTCCTATATGGGAATATGTAATGACAAGTAAACTGACCACACCCGTCCAAAAACACACAGTAGATGAAGTAGGAGGCATTAGGATATAAAAACCCTGGCTTTTATTTGTACTTGGGTGACAGTTTAGCTTAGCTAAAAGAGCACAAAGAGTGGGAATGAAACACCTGGTTGTGGTCTCTTCTCTGTCCCTCACTGGCCAAGCAATGCTGGCATGTCACCCGTCTGCCTGAGCCGCATTTCCCACCTGAGTATCTCAACGGTTAGGGCAAATGTTCTCTAGCATTTCTTTCAGCAGTAATAAGTTCACTGTACAAACATTCTTAATCTGAAGTATAACAATAAAGCTAAATATAAATTGATGGAGATTAACAACAATGCATGGAGAACAGTAAAACAAAACATAGAAAATCCACGAAGATTTCTAGTTACATCAAAGTACACTAAAAGTTTATTAATGCTCTTGTCATTGCCATGTGAGGAGGGTTTATAATGGGGTCTAAGATACAGTTTTTAAAAGTGAAAAATAAGGTCTCTATATTTAGACCCTATTAAAAAGGAAAAGCTGACTTACTAAGTATATATGCTTCAAATATCATAGCAACAAAGTATATAGACACACAAAAAAACTGAACATAGATGGTAATTGCATGAGTGAATATATATTGAACACTCTTGGAAACAGATATAAATTATTACCTTTCCCTTCAAGAACTGTCCAAGCTCTACTACTTAGTAGCTTAGAAAACTTGAACAAATATTATTCCCTGTAAACCTTCATATGGGAATAATAACTAGCTTATACTGTTGTTTTGAGAAATGAATGAAATATTTATACAAAGCACTTAGCCAAGTTATTGGCATGTAGAATACGCTCAATACTCAAGATTCTCCCATGCTCTTGGGGCTTATAGTTTATTTAAGATAATAAGATATGCTCATTAAAAATCCATTATGCTCAATTTAAATTTAAGTTCCTAGCAACAATAGAACGTATGTCACCAATTGGTAAATAATCATGGCCAAATGAGGATTAATAAGCGTTTGAGAATTTGGAAAAATGACTATCCTTTATTAAGTGCTTATGATATGGCAGCACTATATTTTATTTATGTTATAGGAATTAACTCATTTCACTCTTAGAGGAAAACATAACCCTGTGAAATAGATACTATTATCATTTTCAGATTTTGAAATTAAGGCACAGAAATATTAATTTGCCTAATGTCAACAGCTAATACATTGCAGAACTGAATTAGAATCCAGATCTGTACATTTAAACATCACACTGTAAAAGACAGGGAAAGCTACCCAGGCTACATATTTAGAAGAGTGTTTGTGGTGGAGATTAGCTTTGGACAGATGGGAAATAAGAGATGAGCATTCTCTTCTAAGTACACAGAATTAACAAAATATAAGTTGAGGCCAGGATTATTTAAAGAAAATTTACGTTATGTAGAAAAAAAAAGTGCCTATGATAATATTCAGGCTGCTCTGCTAGGTGGTGGGGGGGTAGATGGGGATCTTACCTTTGAGATTCTTGTAGTCTAATAGGATATGTGTGCAGGGTTATGATGTTATATTATAAGCACAAGACAGAAAGTGACAAGTGACTTAATCAAGGTTCACCAAGTGCTCTTTGAGAATTCAGGAAAAGGAAAGAGAAAATCAAGAGAGAGGAATGGAAAAGTGTTTATGGAATAGTTAGCCTTTGAGTAAGTCTCTAAAATTGTGCTAATTGAGATTTGGAAGTAGGAAGATAGTAGAGAAGTGAAGTCATTTCTCATGAGGGGAATTTTGACATAACAGGGAATAAAACCATGGAGAGAAGTAGCAAATATTGGGAAATAAGTTTCAAGTAGTAGGTTAGGACCAATCTAGGGAAGGCTTTCAATGCCTGGCTAAAGGCTAAGAACCGTATTGTCTATAATGAGCCCTTGCACATTGAGATCACAGGCCATGGGAACTGCTCTATGGATAGTGGTTAAAAACACGGGCTCCAGAGCCAGGGTGCACCTCTTACCGGCAAGATGAAATCAAGAGGCAAAGGACTCGTGAAAAGAACTGTCCTTTATTGTTCCGTGCTGTAAACATTTCTCAAGCACCTTCTCTGTGCCTGCTACTGTGCTGGGTGTTAGGGACCACCGAAATGCAGAGGCTCTGCCCTCATGGGCTCGTGGGTTCCTGGAAAGGACAAGAGAGTCACAGATGTCAAGGATTTCAGTGCAGATATCAGCACTGTGTTGGGTGTGACTGAGCTGCTACGTGAGGGTCCATAAGTCTGCCTGAAGATGAGCAGAAGGAATACATAGCAGTGTGTTTGCATCAGCAGGGCCTGACCTGAGAGCCATAGATAAAATCCTCTCTTGCTTTCTGTCAGAGTTTTACCTTTGGCCTATTCTGGACTGAAAATAGCATTGCCAAGCACTTCCCTTAAATAACTTCTGTTTTTTGCAGGACTATCCTTTCAGCCCTGCCAAAACCCCATCACCTACTCTTTCTTTACTACTGTGCCTATTTAGTGCTGGAATTTTTATTGAAACCGTAGCTGATTTACTGAAGGTAATTAAGTGCTTTCATGTTGTAGATCTCCTGCTAGACTGCAAGCTGCACTTGGGAGTGAGAGTGAACAAAATGTAAATAAACGATGTCAACAGAGTAGGTTCCTTTGTGGTCCTGTTGCTTTGCTTCCAAGACACTCTTTTTTTTTTTTTCATAAGTGGAATGATTCATGAATGTGTTATTATAGGCATTGTTTCTTTACGGAGCCCCTCATCACTCTTAACAGTTTTGTTTATGTTGAATTATAACTATCGTATGCTTCAAAGTATTGGGAGAGGTACCGGAAGATCACCTCACAGATGACTTAAGTATAAAGGAGAAAAGGAACTTTTATAATGGAGAGGTCTCCTGGAAGCCGTCTTAAACCAAGGAATGAAATTTAACATGCTCAATAATGGGACAGACTGTAGGAAGTCCACAGCATCATCTAGGCAGTAGTCTTGCTAAAATATTTCAGCTCTAGCCAACCGTTAGGAAGTAAAAAATGCAGATGATGGGACACGCTTCAAGACACCTGTCCTGAATTCTGCAACACTGTCAGTGTTACAAAACACTATTCTAGATTAAAGGAAATTGAAGAGACATGCCATTCAAATGCAAGGCATGTGTCTTGACTGAATTCTGGATGAAAAAAAAAAGCTACAAAGGATTGGTGGCAAACTTAGAGAAATTTGAATATG